TGTATGTGTTTTTATGTTATGCACTGACATTCGTTCAGTTGATTATTCCAGTTGCTGTTTCAAGTAAACCAGTTAAGGGCAAATGAAAATCAAAGGAAATGATTAGCCGTTAACTGTCCAGTTCTGCATGTAGGTTTTTGTGTGTGTTTTTGCATATCTCTGTGCTTGCCTATCAGTTTATGTAGACTAAGGAGAAGACTAGTCATCTAATATCATCACAAAGTTTAGTAGGAGTAAAAAGGAAGAAGATTTGCTAAAAGAATCTTGAATGTGGATTGTTGGAGATAAGCGATAATGACAGTTGCGAAAGTGACTTGTAACTGATAGTTTTATTTTGAGAATTTTGCAAACCTTAGCGTTCTTTTAGTGGTACTCATGTTTCAACATTGGTGCTATTTTTCCCATCTAATTACCTTGTCCAATCTTTCAACTGATTTTTAGTCGTTCTTGCCCAAAATCCCTGGTTCTTAATTGCTCATTTATATTGCGTGACAATCTTTTTTCCAGAACTTAAAGCACTAAATGAACTATAGAATTTTTTAAAACAATTGGTTGCTTTATAATGATCTGTTCGGAACAGTATGGTTATGTGAAAATTTATGTGATATATGAATGTCTTATAGCTTTTTCTCATCTGTAATATTAATTAGATTTTTTCCTCCTCCTCCAACAACAAGCAAATGAAAATAAAGTTACATGCATTATGTTATATTCAGTGAACAGATAGACCAATTATAATGCTAAAAAAAAAAAAAAAACAATTAGCAAAAAAAAAAAAAGAGAAAAGAGAGAAGTAGTGAGAGATTCATTGGATTTTAATACTGTATTCAAATTTTGTATGTAATTGCACATAAATGAGAAGTTTCCGTTTTTTTTCGTCCTCACAACCAACCTAGTTGTTCGCTAATGTCTATGAGAACAAAAAGCAAATGAGAACTTAATTGATTCAGTTACATTGTGGGCAGTTAAAAGAATATTTGAGTATGAAGAACATGAGGGTAGTTTGTAAAAGAAAAAAATGCTGTATGAAAGGAAAAAATAAAAGTGCGCTGACATTATTCACTGTAGTAATTACTGTAGCGAATTAATTCTAAAGATTTGGAATCAGATATTGAAGAGAATTAAAAAAAAGGAAAGAAGAAAAACCAAATTTGTCACTGTTGCTCTTAGATCAAACAGCAGCGGTGTTACTAGCAATGGATTTATATTTAATAAACTGTTCTGCTGACAACCTTTATTCAAATTGATGACACTATTTAGATATGCGTTGTTTGCGTGTTCATCTGCCCATCTTTTTGTTCTTTATAATGGCGTATAATTGTAAAGAAAACTTGACTTTGAATAAGGAACAATATATGTAAATGAAAAAAGTAAAAACGATGTATAAAATATATCAGTGCTTTTTAAGGATGACATGAAAGGCGGTGCGTCCTGTGTACGCGTGGTGCGTTACGTATTTTTAGCCCATTGCGATCGTTTTGCTCGTCCATCTGTTCCAAAGGTTAATGTGTTCTTGGATTTTGAGAACGCTGAACCATCCGAAGCTGAACTTCAGCTGTTTACCGTTGCTGAACAGGTTCTTAAATATTTAATTAGTGTTTTAGTAAACCACAACACAGTAAGTTGATTTTGTTTTATCGCTTATTAGATGGGGCAATCAAGCGTTTACGAATGATCCAAAATTGAACGCTGGTATAACTGAGAAATTGTTGAGCATACCGTATGTCGTCGTTCAGCAATTAAGAAAAAAAGAAGTTTCCTTTGTAGTTCTATGAATTCTTACTCTAATTTAATGATAGGTTTTGGTTCTCAAAATGCTGATCAATGAAAACTGCAGTTTTTTTAACCTTTATATTGCGTGGTGTATTGAACCAAACCTGATAAGATGCTGTTCGGATTTTTGCGAAATTTATTTCTGATTTGGTGGTTTAGTAAATTTTAAATGATAGAAGAGCTTCATTTCAAATCCTGACTTTTTTTTGCCACTATAATCCGTTTTTTTAAGCAGTCCATTTCTCTGGCATCATTTTAGCTTTAGGCACATTTTCAAGTGATGTATTTGCTCTCTTTTTGCTGAAGTTTATGGATTTTGTTGGAACCAATACAGTGAGATAATGGGTATTCTTAATGCTATTTAGGCAATGTAATGAAATCAAACACTGGCTTTCCTCCTCATATAGAAGGAAGAAATGATACAAAATAAAAGGGGAGAAGCACAAGAGGGATTAGCTTCGCATTTTAAACTTCCCTAAAGCCTGTCCGATAAAATGCCTTGTTCATTCTCAGTACATCTATTCATGACCGTTTTCAGTTACAGCAATTGCCATAAAGGAGAAAAGCATTGGGAATTATTTTTTTGTTACTCATTTTCGTTGCCCTTTACTTTAACATATATTGTCTGAAGAGGAGGAATCAATAAAAGATCTTTCTGAGTGGACCCGATAACAAAACTTACTGCAAACTAACTCAGAACTGTTATTTTTCCTCTATTCGTCTACAACCAAACTGGAAAAGTAGGAGAAGTAGTATCTGTTATTAATAGGGTAGTATTTGAAACAATGGGGTAGTGAAACAAAAAATTTCTGGTATTTTCATTTATCAGAATTAAGTTCTCGCAACAGTAAAAGTACAGGAAACTTACATAACGTTTCTGCTATATGCACTCTTTGGAAAAACCTTTCACATCACTCTTAGGTTTTAAACAAATTTACTATTATCAAAAACGCTTGAAAGACTCAATCTTGTGTTTCATGTATTAATCAGTAAATAACAAAGAATCATTTATAAACTCTTCAGAGTCATTATATCCTTGAAACTGTTTTATTCAAGATCGGTCGCTTTCGATTAAAACGGTACAGTTAGGTGCAAGATAGTTCACAAATGTTATTCATAAATGATTCATCCTTGTTCAGCAGTGAAAAAAAATAATATTTTAGGTATTGGAAGAGGCAGAACTGTTACTCTCGGACTTAGGATCCTATGGCAGTGGCGCGACTGCAGAAATTCGGGTCGCTATTCAACAACCAAGCAATCAAAATGCGCAGACAGCTGCATTCACCATTCTTGATAAACTTGCTCAACGCATTCAGGCTTATTATAACCTGTCGTTGAAAATTGAACAAGTTTTCCCCTTGTTGCTTTGGAAACTTTGTTCAGGTATTGATCATTTGATGTTCAAAAACCAACTTACTTTATTACTTGATAAGATGCTAATACCAAATTTTGCAGGACCTCTTCCGCCGGCTGAGCAAATTGATTCTTTACAAGCAACGTGCCGGCAATACGCTAGGCTCATCGACTTTGTCCTGTTGTTTGACACAATGAAAATGTGTACACCAGCTTTACAAAATGATTTTAGTTTCTACCGAAGATCCATGTCTAGAGAGGTAACGCCGGGCCACTTTCTCATACTTTTAAACCTTTCATACAAATATAGTTTTACACAAAAATATCAGCCGTAGTTCTAAAAACTTTTCTTAACACCTACCTGGCAGATCCGATCTTAACATTTCCTGCTTTTCCACCTCTTGATTCTGTTACAATTTTCCCACAAGTCTCTAATACATTCCGAGGCTTTAATAAAAATGTAATTCTAGGTTGGCGGACCATACTCAGTAACGCTTGAAATGGCAAATACAATTTCGTTGTTCCTCGCTAATCCCACTCCTATGTTGACATCCTTAGCAACAGCAGTTTGCAATTTCATTAAAACGCACAGTGAAGTTCCTGATTCCAGTGCAACTAGTACTTTGGCAACAATAGTGCAGGTCGACAATAAACTTCATTTTCTCCCTACTTCTGTTTCCTCTAATACTCACTGCCCTACAGTCAAAATGATATCATTTTAAACTGTGCAGAACAACTAAGTTTTACTGTAAACTTCAGGCAGTTTAAACCGAGCAGCACCAAAACATTCGAAAGCAGTTGGTGTTTTGAATTAATCAAACAAAAAAATACCTTCTTTAAATGTCTTGCTTAATTGTAAAATATAATAGGGGTTTCAAACAATGCTGCTTATTAAAAAAATTAACCAGTTTAAAAGACCTTTCAAGTGCAAAACGTATACATTAAAATGAATTTTCGGAAAACATACACATTAAAACAAAGAGCCCTTTCTTCCTCAAAGCAGTAGTAAAGCAGCTATTCCTCTAAAACTTATAAAATAATAAATTTTTTTACAGGTGTGTCAGTTTATGGTGGAAACTGAAGAAAACTGGAACCGACTTTCCGAGTACCACAGGCTATTTACTGTTCGACTTATGGTTGGCACAATAATACTTTTTGATCATATTGATCATGCTGGCGCATTTTGTAAAGACTCTTTAATTGATATTAAATCTGTGGTTGAACTGTTGAAGGCGGAGTTTAAACCTGATGTGGTTAGTCTCATACTCTTGCATTAGTGGCTATTATCATATTAGTACTATAATTTGTAATATTCAGAAACTAAACAAGAACAAGCCAAGTGATCATGCTCAGCGCCTTCCATGATAAGTTATGAAACAGCCTCTATACATTTCAGACAACATCTTTACTGAATGCGTTACGATACAATACGAAACATTTGAATGATTCCACGACGCCGAAGTCTGTTCGAATGCTGTTCCCCTAAGCAGATGGAAAAGGTTAAAGTCGCGGACACAAAGCTGTTACCTTATTTCGCATGCGTCCGTTGAATACGTGTATAAAAAGCGAAAGAGAAACAGTAGGTATGATACTGGAACACTGTACACCCACCAGAAGACATATCCAGATTTCACTACTTTCTAATGCTTCTACGTTTACCTGTTCTCCTATAGTTATACTTGCCGGTCACATAACGTCTAGCTTCAACCCAACCTAGAGTACTCTCCGGTAAGAACGTGCCGCAGGCGGTCACTTTGTGAAGTGGTTAAATAATCAGAAAAATTAGATTTAAACCTAGTTCCCCGTATGAACCATTTGTCACCCGACCGTGTCTTAATGACAACAAATTTCAACAAACCAAGTAACTCATCGTCACTAAAATCACTCTCATCCGGGGTTTTGAAATATCACTGCAGTTTCACTGTAAATTATCTCGCTTTCCCTTTGTTTTTTTTTTTTTTTTCTGGAAGACCCTTTAACCCCTTTGGCTCATTAACTGCCGTGTTCAAAACAGAAGTTATTAGCGGTTTGTTCAGAGATATTTAATGAATTTTCAAGTGAAAAAGAAAATTTACAATAAAAGAAAAGCTTCCGACACTCGCTTATCACAAGCACCATTAGCAACAAAGACTTCCACCTCTTTACCAACACAGCAGAACAAGCCTGACCACACTACTGAGCCTTGAAATTCCAACCACTGCATCTCAATAATACACGCAACATTACAATAGTCCCTTTGTAAACAAAGTTTGGTACCATGAAAAACAACCCTTCGTCACCAAATTCTTGCCAAACTCTCAACGCTTACTGAACAGATGAGATAAGAAACGGGAGATGGGTAACCAGACAAGTTGAACAATGCAAAATCTTACTCTGCATATCCAACGCTGTCACCTGTCTAATAAAGTTCTCAAAAGGGCAAATGCACGAGAACTTTCGGCTAAATGCAACAGGCTCAAAATATAAATTTTTTCTCGTTTTGTGAAAAGAAATGTCAATTAATTCACCCACTAGACATAATACTTTCTGAAAAAAATTTAAAATACAGAAAATTCACGATCAAAAATTACCATGGCTCAGTGTGGTTGTACTGTAATCAACATCAAATTGTTCGCCAACAGCAACCATGCCACACCATGATTCTCAAAACGATAAGAAAAAAGAAAGTAAAAAACAACCTTAACGATTACATGGTGAAACAACTGCCTAAAAAAATAACGAGCAAAATCCACATCTTTCCGTTCATAGTATCAACTTGACACCTCCCAATTAGTAAAACATCTTTAAACTGCTGCACATTTCAAACAAATGCTCACTTAGACATCATGTATCGGTAGCCAATTGTAAAAAAAAAAAAAAAAAAAAAAAAAAAAAAAAAA